CTAATCTGTTTTGCCGCTAAGTAATATTTTTGTTCTGGATCATCCATAGTTAACTTAAACTAATTAGCACGTCCATATTGCTTTATTTTTAAACTTTGGATAACAAAGTTTGATGATTTTTCTGTGTGGTCTTAAAAATCCAGTCAATTAATCACCCTTTTATGAATAAGATTTACTTTAAGCGCACAGCTGAACGGTTGCTTAAGCATCGTAAACAATTGCGTGACGGCCTCTCGCTGGTATGATGTAAAAATAGGACAAAAAGTGATCCTATCATTATAAAACCAGCTCTTTCCTAGAGATGAATTAAATAGCTCAGTAAAATATTGTTCATGCTCAATTTCAGTGCAATCTAGAGTAGCTGATATACACTTAAACTAACAGATTTTAAAGTGTTTTCACATAATGAGACTAGAATAGAACATATCGTTCAAAAGATTCGAGCAACATATTTCACGTTTGATTCAATTTCAATCATGAAATTAAACCGGGAAAAACCAAACTATTATAAAACTATAGTATTATGGTCATATAGACTATGGTATTAAATAACATATATTTTTCAAATTGCATTTGTCGCGCAATTAAGGAGATTGGGATGCCATAGTTTTATTATGATACTTATTGGCGTAACTTTAATCCCTAAGTCAAGTATGTTTGCGTTATCGTATCACTTAAAACTCTGTTTACTTAACTAAATACACAAACTGTGCGACACAACAGACCCAGTATGATCAACAGGTTTTGCCCAAAAGCAAAATTATTGTTTCATTAACCATTCTGCGATATTTAGAACAGTTCAATGGACAAATTGATGAAGAGAAAATAATGCTACTCGCAGTATATACTACATGTTGAAACCATTAATGTAAAAACAACAAGACCAGTCTACTCGCTTAGTTAATTTAGGAAAGTAATGATGTCGTTACCTTTGTTTTGGACCATAACCGACTGAAGTGCATGCTTTTAAAAGAAAACGTGATTCTAAATTAGTATTGGAACAGCGGTTCCGTGTACGGCATATTTCTCTTTAGAGTGTGTCGATTAACTCATATTCTGTTTATCATGTTTTCACACTAGTAAAGTACCTGGTGGTGTCGATATTACTTGCTCCATATCATCTACCATAAATGCGTTTTTAGGCGCTTGGATTGTCTTGCCAACGCAGTGCTGTCAAGCAAAATCTTTTAGGATTTTTGCACAATGATGAGAGATACCAAAGATCTATTCTGGCACTTGGTTATATTTTGGGGAAGTTTCAAAGTGTAGGTACATTGGTAGTGATGCAATATGCTAAGAAATAGGTTTTAAGCTTAGTATAATGTAGGCGTGCGTCACATAGCGTTAGTTTTTTCTGTTTACGTAAAATGATACAAAATATAGTGCTTTCCCTAAATTCTGCTTTTTATATCTTGGCGCAATAACCATACTGTAGACACTATCTTATGTGTCTTGTTCACTAACGTAAAAGCGTTTAATAGTACCAAGTGCCATGACACATTTACTATATTGATTATATTGCACGTGTTCCTATCAGACCCATTCATTAGCACTGCATTATGTTCATAACAAATCGAAAGACAATCATATTATTAGAAATTTAGCGTTTTCTTCGGTGTTTAGCAAGCAAATGGTGACTGATTGGATGTGATAAATTCCTGCAATTCAAACACGCCATTAGTTGGAAAAATATTACAATCTGCCGTCGCAAGGTTTTCTGAAACAAACATTTTAATAAAATTTCGCTTTGTTCACTGGATGCAGTTACTAAGTTTGTTGTTTAATAGTGTGTGATTGTCGTTCTAAAAATCCGCGCCGCTTACTATAGTAATGACAGTACATTCCAGTTATTTTTATATACATTTATGGCATAGGTATCTTCTATTATGCCAATTTAGTCCATCTATTGTGGATACTGCAATATTCGGAAATGTAGACATTCGTGTATATAAAGTTTAGATCGACTGGAATTTAAATGGAATAAGCTGATGACGCGCTTGACATCCACTTACGATAAACTTTATTCCATAAATGTATAAAGTAAATCGATAGTGCGTGAAATTTTAATTATTCTTTAATTCTTTTTATATATTTGATGCACGCGCCCTTCCATATTGATTTATCTCCAACTTATGAGATAGTTATGCTAGCTTCAGGCGCTTTCTCATTTGTCAACCTGGTTTAAATTATATCAACTCATAAGGCACTTCAATACTCGGAATTTGACCGTAGTGGTTTGCACCACTCGTGAATAACTGAATTAAACACGAATATATTGTGTTTGTAAAGTTTTACATATTCAGCAAAATGTTTGCAACTAATAAGTGAAAAATCAGGTTAATTTATCACCTGCTAACATTTACTTTTACAATTTTCTGAAAGCTTCCAGCTATGTACTGTTCCATTCTAATCAATTTTATTAGAAACCATCAAATTCAATGCAACAAATGATGCTAGATGTAAAAGAAAGGATTTTTAATGTGTAGTAAGAGTTATATTGAACACCTCGATGCCGTTTTCTACAGTTAGATAGTTCTCAAGCATCTACATTGAAGAAATGATTCAAAAACGAATCAAATAATAATTTTTTTCTTGGTATTACATGTAATAGTCTGCCATTTAGCGATCTAAAAATCATGACACATAAATCGAAGCATTGCAATATGTGCGATTTGCTGCAATTTATATCTTACCTGCTCCTCTAGAATTGTGTGGTACTCTAGTAATTTTGGACCACAGTATTGGCTAAAGAGCATGCTGGCTAGCAAATGTAAGAATGCAACGCTTAAAGCAAGACGTAAAGGGTTTTTGGCATTTTACATACGTAAGCCGCAAAAAAAACAAAACCAATTTCATAGTCCAAGTAAGCAGCAATAAGAAACTGAACTCTTGAGACAAATGTTTTATCTCATGAAATGCAATGGAAAATTTCTAGTTGTTGGGCCAGGCAGCATATTGTGTTAAAAAATTAACATACAACACATTCTAAGATAAACGCGACATGCCTACACTGAGTATAAGTAAATTATATAGACGTTAAGTAGGCAAAGGTGCCTAAATGCCGTCTACATGTTCCTTGCAGAATTTTATTCTTTGAATATTTCTACCCTTATATTTTATCCTAACAACAGCAAAGTATTCAACGCAAATTAGTCCAAAATTTCAAACAGTCCCACCGTAGCTTTTGTTTTGGTTGATAATAAAGTTTTACGGCTATATAATCGCAAGTTAGAATTATCACTGAACATTCCATATTTTGAGGTGTCTACTACACGATATAAACAAAAGGGACTTTGCAGAAATTTCTTGCTCTAAGTAAAGCTAAGCAATCTGCAAATTGTTTGTCGGTAGTGCAAAAGCAAACCATTTGTAAAACTTAAGCCACTCTTCTTTGACAGATGTTATCAGCACAAAGATATGTTAAAATTGCATGGTAATTGCTAATCGCGATGCCTTAGAAGATTTTTGGAAATCCTTTCTTGTTCCAAATAGGTGTAATTCATTTTGGACATGCAATATGTTTTACCAGGAAACAAAAATACATGGCTAACAGCACAGTTGGAAAAGCAGGAACTCTAAAAGTTATACTGAGCTTTAATCTATCTTTCACCTTTCTGTACTCGTTTTGTGCAAAATAAGCATTATACTATGTGTTTTCTTGTTTAACCTCGCCATTGCATGCCGCCTGCAAAAGCTGCAGCTTTTTCTTAATAGCAGCGCTTAAGTAATGTTATTAGGGCATAAAACCACAGCCTGGACAAAATGTTAAAACACAAACTCACAGTCTCGCATGAAAGTAGGAAAAACAAATTTGGTAGCCCTATAATTTTCGTACTGATGCAAGGACATATAAAGAATGCACTGTTGAGAGTATAGCCGATTTCTTTCTTATGATTAGTCGGCACCATGAACAGAAAATTTCATATGTTGCAGTAGTTTTACATACCAACTCTTTTCGTGAGCATTTAAATTATCTTTTTAAGTGAACGTATTTATTAATCCTTCTAAAATTAAAGCAGAGTCACATTTATGCAGAACACAAATTTTGTTCCATTCTATATTTGTAAAGCACAGGGTAAGGATATTTTCTTTTTACATAAATATAAGTATTCATTTGTCATAGAAAGGTCAGTCAAATTGATTTCCTGTTGATGTTTAGCTGAAAAGATGGGTTGCACAAATTGTAGTGCAACAACTGAAAGATTGTTAGCGGCACAGGCACCAAAATATGCTGATTCAAGAGCATGAAACTCAGAGCCAGTTCCGGGAAAAGGAATTCAGTTTCCAATACCGTCAGTATTTTGACGAATTAAAATATATCCTTATTCTTGTAAGCGGTAATCTTTACAATAATGGACAATATTTGTCCCAGGTGAAGAAACCGGCAAACTTAAGGCTTGCACTTTTCGAAATTTAGAAAGTGTTAAATTTGTATGAATTTCTAATCGCTTAGTATGCTTCAACTAAAGATATAATCAACAGACGATCTGCTGCAAACAATTCTGGTGATGACTATTTAAATTGGCACAACACAATTGTTAACTTTATGTACGCACTTATGCGTATATTGCCCGTGACCAAACTGATATGTACTGGCAGAAAATGCAGAAGTCTACGCACAGAATAGTTACAAAAATGTTTTAAGAGCTCCTTATTTTTAGTTTTTTATTGACAATCGGTTTTCATTATAAACATCTGTAACTACGTAGATATTTAACTGATTTTATAAATAGATGCTTATTAACTACTTTGCAGCAATAGCGTTTTCTGTGATAAGCAAACAATAAACGCACTGAGTTTGCCTTCCTATGTAAACAAAGAAACTAAAGTGCAAAATAAATAAAGCAACTTGCTTATCAACTGCATTGTGTAGCTAGCTTACTATGATTTCGATGCACAGATGAAGCAGGAACATGATTGCAATGTGCAGAATATCCAAATATTATGTTTACAAGTTATGTCATGTAATTCATGAATTGAACTTTTCTCAACGATTACAGCTTCTACTCCACTTACCAGTTCAGTATGAGCGACTTGCGCAAAGCTACCACGGCATCAAAGCAAACAGCAGGATGTTTGTTTACCAATTTTGAGGATGTTCGCGTAAGTTCATACTTCCTGTTTACATTAAACATTGAGTGCTTAGTTATATTTGTAGCGGATTTTGAAAGATAGACGTACACTTATGAAGGTAACAATGTTGGCGAGAAAAATTAACGGCAAGGAATCTAGTTCCTACTTCACAATGAATGTGGTGAATTTTAGAACACGGTTTATAAGGACAATTATATACACTTCAGTTGGTATGGGTATTCGTTTAGGCAAACGTCGTCACTATCTCGATCTTCGTGTCAAAACAAGAAGAAATTTTCGTCGAATTAATCGGAAGATAGTATAAATGTGCCCAGAGCGAGCTGTTCTGTTAAAGGCAATAATGTTGACTAACGTGCCACTGGGTACCTCACTATCTTACAGTCATAACTGCGATATAAGGTGCAAACGAGCTTAGGCGGTAAAATGTCTAGTGCCTAAATTTTGAGATGAAAATGGGAAGTTACTTTTCATAAATGAAATCAGATTTCTACCCAAATAATATGGTATTCAGTCAAATCACTGGTATATTTTCCGGAATCATTCTTTGTACTGGAACTTGGTGGCTCAGTTGCACACCTAAGAAAACTAACCTTCAGCACTGCTAATAACAATTAGGCTTTTATGTACCTAAATTGTTTTGCGTAGGCGTTTGTATTATTTTTGTTTTTATTTGTAGAATGTGAACTCGTATCTCTTAGTTTTTGATGAAACTTTTGAATTTAAAACTAGCAAGGCAATAAGCTGACGCAACTCGAACTGTCTCTATTGGCAATAAAATCTACACCAAATATTGCAGCCGGAACCGTTGCTTTAATCTCAACGAATAATAACGTAGTTTTGTTCAAAATATCATAAAACATCAAGGCCCCAGAAGATCATCCACTAAATCATATAATTCCTACTAATAATTTATTCACCATTATGTGCCTAAATTAACACAATATTTGATCAAGTCTGTATTTAAAGGGATGGAAAATAAAGTTAATCGAATGATCGGTAGATAACTTGCAGCACGTTTGTAGTACAGGTGCCGGAAAACTTTGAGCTCTTAAGAAAAAGAGTATATGACACTTCCACCCAGTTTAGCAAATATGTGCCAAAAACCAAAATCAAAGTGGGTGCAGCAAACGTATTTCTGTGAGCAACCTAGTGAAGCATACCCATCAGCTAGTTAGTAAATATCCCAAATACATTTGTGTCAAGGACATAACGTAACCATCAAATATATGCCGCTATTACTGACATAATTCAAGTTTCGTTTAATCAGCTAAATCACAGTAGTCTAGCTGATAAACATGGGCTTGACAATAAATAGTAAATTTGTGAATAATTCCTATGAAGTCAAATGATTATAATTGCACGGAACATTCTTCCTGATAAATCTCATCTGACATTTACAATTATTGAGCGAAATTAGAAAACCGATTGGCTAATAAATGCTAGGTCCAAATTAGAAAGAACCACGTAATCCACACAATTTATTGGCTTGCCATGGCTGACCATTGATCAATATCTTAGTCAATCGAAGTACGCCGCTCGGACAAAACACACAGAAGATAAAGGCAAACAGATCAACGGTGATCGCCTGTCATATTTGAGGTGAGGATCTCTCCCCAGAGTGCGTTGATGGCCACGGCAGAACAAAGGTTTGCATCATTGTCCATGGTTTACACAGTTCTGGTTTAAAAGCCGTGATTGCATTGGCATCGGCTGTTGTTAACAAGCATTTCTTAAGTCTTTTACAGGATCGTTTCGAAATTGTATATAGACTTTAAATTAGTCCTTGTGTGAGTCATGCTATATCAAATCACTCGCACCTGTTGTGCAAGGTACCCAGGACATACGACCAGGTGCCTGTCTAAAGTTATCACCGAACGCTGTCGGCTTTGATAAGAAAAGACAACGCAAGGAACATCTACTGGTCGATACTTGATCATTTAGTTGGCACAAGACAACAGACTTAGGCAAATGACTTCAAATTCATATATACTATCCCAGAAAGATATTATGAAGATGTAATGAAGATATTGTGAAGACTTGAGAAAAGCTTGTTAACAACAACCGAGGTCATTACAATTACGGTTTTGAAACGACAACTGTGTAAACAACGGACAATGGTGCAAACGTTGGTCCTACCGTGGCCATCAACGGACTTCGGGGAGAGACCCTTACCTCAAACATGACAGGCGGTCACCACTGATCTGCCGACCCTCACCTACTGTGGGTTTTGTCCGAGCGGTGTTAATGGAGTACACCACATCGGCAACTGCCACTTCTTCGCTGCATGCACTGGGGCTTTCTCTTGCACCTCGGCAACTGCCTTCATTAGCAGCTTGCGCCATGCACGCCTATTAACCTCCTTCGATTCCTGACATCTGAAATCAATATTCGAACTTGCTAGGCTCACTCTGATCATGTTCTGGTATCGACGCTTTGGCTTCCCAAAACGGCGCTTCACCACACTCAACTGACCATATAACAGCTGCTCCGGTATTCGCGTCGAATCCATACACCACATATGACCGAGCCACCTCAGGTGTTTCGGCAAAATTATGAAAGCCACTGCATACATTCCACTCCGGGTAGCCCCTTCGTTTACAGACAAAACAATGTATATCGGCCGGCGGTCGAAGGAATGACGTGCTTACATTTTACTCCGTAGGGCATCGATTCTACTCCGTATTTTTTGGGCGACATCGTGTTATACTCAACTCACGCGCTACCGTTGGTGGTCGTGTAGCAGCTGAGCGTTGGTACCGTGCACCAACGTACTGCTGATATCTCAAATGTTTAAGACGATTTAACTCACATTAATCGTATACAATAACTTCTGTGACTCAGCTTTGATGATTCACCATTATGAAACCGGCGCTTGATGCATCTCTTCCAAGAATACTTTAGACATATGAACCCATGATACTAAATACTGCTTTGTATGTGTTTTGCTATCCTGCAAGCGCTATCAGACGTATGCTCGTTTTGTTTACATGTGAAACTCGAGTCGTTTGGCGGGACAGAAATGTGCCGCCGCCTATACAAAAATGATAACTTGTCGTTTCACAACACCGGCAGTTAATTTATTCTGCAGATAATACCGGTTGTGAGCAGGTCAGCAATAGTGAACAACTTTCCCAACAATGCTTTTAAAAGGCCAAATTTAACGGGGGCACATCTCTGAAAATTAGCCTAATCCAGCAGGAAAAGATAGCCAGCACATGCGTAGGTTATGTTTTAAATTATTAAATAATTTTTTGCGTAATCTTTCAATAAGAGCTTGGATACTGAAGAAATAATTGCACGCTGTCACCCATGGCGAAGTGATACTAGATGCTAGCATGTAGAAATCATGGGGGTGGAACCCAGCAAGAGTCCGCTGGGAGGAGCACCACTGGCGAGACTCAGAAGGTCGAAACGCCGGCGCCTGGTGCTTTTACAAAGTATACTAAGCCTGCTGATTGAGATTGGTCATGATGAATTAGCAGAATGACGACTGATTTACTTGTTAGTGGATGATCTGGGCGGAGGAAGATTGAGTACATTAAGAGTAAGTAGAGCAGTTCTGATGAACCTCAACTTATCACTAAACTAAAGTAAAGAGTACGTCCATGAATTTCGAAGCGCTAAGCATAAGGTACTTAGATAAATACGCTTTCAATGGATTTCGTTATTCACGTTAAAGTATTGATGTAGCCTGTATGGTGAGGGCTCTCTGCTTAGGCATTACATCGTCAGTTTATTTGCATTCAATAAATACAACTTTTATAAGGTGCGTTTTAAAATGTAAGAAAATTAACGGCACTAAAGGATAATTTCTTGCAGAATACCAGACCACAAGGAGAACCAGGAAATAGTTACAGAAATTACGATGCGGTTGCACTTTATTCGCGGATAGCATTTTGGGCAACTTTGACCCATGCAACCTTCCGAAGGAAAGTGAATAATTAAGTAGCCATACGGATTTGCATCACTGCTCTAAGGCAGACGACAGAGGCTTAACAATATATGCTACTGCAAAGGTGTTCGTAATAAGCTGCGAAATTAGCAGTATTTTAAAGGCATTCAGAAGCACAACTGTGCACGTATTCAGGCAATTAGTATGCTATCCGCATTTGGACGGCAACGTCATTCTAGTCTTCCTCAAAAATTTAGAATCACATGCATTTGAGGCACTTGTTAAGGAACTCAATTAGCGGTAGTGCTAAAGAATCAGCGGGCTTTTTAAACGGCATTTGACGAAGAATCCTGACTACTAACTCTCTTTGAGTTCAGTAGTTTGAGTTCTTTTTAAACCTCAGCTTGGTCGAATGGCATATCTGGACTTGAGTTGAAGTAAGAGGGCGATTAGGTGCGGTTGATGTGTCAGGGCTAAACTCAGCACTAATTTGTAGACATCCGTCTTATCATTGTAGCTGCAGACGATTTTGCTACAGATACTCCTCGAAAACTTTCACCGATCACAAACGTTCTGGTTGCATATAACCTCTTCGCGCTACAAAGTATAAAGATATTTATCATAGATTTAATTGCTGAATTCAAATTTTCGTCGCGATTAACCATCTTGCATTTGCAACCTCGTTCTTTCATCGTTCTAAGTCGCTCTAGCAATGATGATGAAATCTATCAGAAGTTAGAAATATCTTTCCAGTTGGGTGGCGCAAGTCACAGTAACACGTTATGTAGCTTTATGATGCTCGTAATTAATCAATAGGTCCTTCTCCTTGAAGAATGGAATTCATTTACGAAAACCTGGTGTGAAGCTGGTGATATTTTCAGCGGCGTCGTTTCATTGTTTAAATAAATTAAAAGGACTTTTCGGCATTGCCATTAAACTGTCTTTACCGTATGTTATAGGACAGATATTAAAATGAAGTGCTCTGAGTTACTCAAGGAATTTGTCTTGGTATTGCAAACAACATAACTTTCATTGTACCCACAATTTCCAGCTGCATCTTTTGGCTAGTCGAAAAGGGCACTAAATCTATCGTGATTATTTTTATCAGGAATGTCGTATCATTTTCGTTAAATATTCAGCCAAATTGCAAACAAAATAACCTAGTTTTAGTAGTACCATAGAAGCGTCGTGGTCCTAACAACCCTTCAACTCAAACGCAGCGATGTCAGGTTATATTTAGACTTATACCTTCGTGGGCGAATAAAATCCACTTAATAAATTTATCTGGAAATCGGGTGTTCACGGTGTGCACAGAACGGTTAAGTGTACCAATGCTGGTCAAAGTAAGCAATACCGCCTCTACCATAAAAATGGGGAATTCCGGATTAGTTATACTCAATAGGAAATAAGCCTTTGAGTTAAATAACTCCAGGTTCTATGCCATTTTGCAAACATCTTTCCTAATTTTAGACCTGTCTTTGTACCCTGTGTTTGCGGCATAAATGGACGGAGGTCAACAGACTTACCAAGAAGCAGACGCACACACACAAAAGTACTCAAGAGACTTTGCTTTGCTTATGGAGCGACTACGGAGCCAGATCACTAACCATCAGCATATTTTTGCATGATTCCAGAAATTGTCTTCATAATTTGTGCAGACTTCCAAGATTTTGTGAACGTGTTGAGTAATGAGTGAATTTCTGGCATTATTATGTGACTTTTTAAAATACTGAAGAACCAGGTAACCTAATTACCCATGAGTATACCTAAAAGATTCAAATAACCATAAAATCCGTACTCGAACGCGCAAAATAGTGTGCTAAAGCGAAAATTGACGGTATTACACTGCTTATTTAATCTATTCCATTAAAATAATTACGGTTATGTTATGTCTGTTACTACTTAGCGGCCGTAATCCTATTGTGCATTTGACTGATTTACGTTTATCGTATTTGCCACCATTTGGTTGGCCATTGAATTATTAACTATTTCATCACTATAGTCTGATTGCTCTGTTTATTCAAACACATGGGAAGCAAAACCGTACCATAATCTGACCGGTATTAATCTATTTATATTTGTCTTTGTTTAGAGGAAAACTTATACTGTGCTAGTTTTATTCAGTGAACTATAACCTGTTCATCGACTAGAAATCTACGAATTTGTTTCATCGACAATGCCAGTTCAAATATTTGCTTGACGGTAACTGTTAAACTACTGCTGTTTTTATAAAACAGTGATCCTTTATCATCAGTATTCAAAGAAATAGGTTAATTAGAACCTTGTCAAGTTACCAAATGTCTAAGACCATATAATTAATTACTGAAGCCCAATGCATTTCAAACATTGAAAATCATTTTCTCAGGTGCATCCAATAATTTTAACCATACAATTTCTAGATGTTAGTAAACAAAGCAGCGACAAACCCTCGATCTTTTGAAGATAAGTGATTTAAGTACAACATAGAGCACTCAAACCATAATCGCTTACAGGAAACGCTGTATTTTGGGAGCACTATGTAAAGGGGGTTTTCCACCATATATATATAACCAACAAGCAGTATATAGCGAATTTGGATCAAAAGTCGTGCAAGTATTATTTTATTATATTAAGGTCTATAATGCTCTAGATACACATACCGTCGTTAGAAAGCTTGCTTTAATCTCAAACCTTTCCTGATTTTTAGTTGACTGATGAGGAGCGAGTTTATCTCAACGCCGCAGCTACCGGAGATATAGGAATTATTCGAATGTCATTGGAGGATTCGAATGAAAATGATGAATTCAATGTCAACTGTGTAGATTACATGGGACGAAATGCTTTACATCTGGCTGTAGACTCAGAAAACACTGAAGCCATTGAATTATTACTGGATAAGCTAAATTTTGAGTGCATCGAGGAAGCACTGTTGCATGCCATAAGCAAAGGTCATCCAAAATTGGTTCGTCTAATCATTGAGCATCCAAATTACCAGGCCGGTGAAGACCAAATAAAGCGAATGGATTCCAAAAACGCCTTTTTCCGAACCACAGAAAAGAGTCAGTTTTCCCCTGATATCACGCCGTTGATCTTATCAGCGCATTACAACAATCACGAAATGGTACAGATGTTTCTTTCCCGTAATCACACGATTGACAAGCCTCATCCCATTTCCTGTCAGTGCAACGACTGTCAAGTTAGGCAAGACTATGACTCGCTGAAACGCTCACGTTCTAGACTGAATGCATATCGTGCATTAGCCAGTCCATCATATATGGCGTTGAGCAGTCCTGATCCTATCATGACTACTTTTGAGTTGCGTCAGGAAATGATGAAGTTGGCGGAAATTGAAAAGGAATTCAAAGTAAGTAGATAATATATTGTAAATATGTGAATTCCACTGGTCTAGTGAAGTTTTAATATAGCTGCAAAACACTGCTGTTTCATGCCATAAAAAGCATTTATGCATTCGTTATTTAGACAGAGGAGAGGAATAAATATTAGAATGATTAATACCATATATGTGCGTATGAGGCCTACCTCTATCATGATTGTTTAACCGATGGGATTGTTTGTCAGACTTGGGAATAATATCATTGTGCATGTACACCGGTTCCCAAACTTATACCACGCGACTTATAACTAGAAGCGCTGGTTCGTTTGTTAATGTAATAAATAATTTATAATTAATTTAAATATATTTAAATAAAAAATTAATTAAATAATTTATAATTTTTATATTGATAAATTTAACGCACGTCCTATGAATACCTCAGGAAAAGAGTACTAGATTGTTAATCCAGTGGTAATGATAGTTACACTATTTCTTGTCAGTGTGAACAAGATATACATATACTTAACACATGGAAATTGTACACCAGTTAGTGCGTTCCAAAAGTGTTGGCCGTGTAAAACTTGCATTAGAATATAGCTAACAATAGGTTCTGTTTGTCAAGTTAGCAGTAAGGAGACGCACCTTTTAGGCTATAACTTGTAAATTGTTCACAGTGCTCCCTATTAAATATTTTCTGAGGTTTATGAGACTCTGGATAAAAAGATAGTCTGATCTTGTATGCATTCAATGTGCACAACATTTGCAATCAGCAGTGAAGCAGCAGTGAAAAGAGAATACCGAGTTCAAAAATAACTGGTCCCTAAGTTCACTCCTAAATCGAACCTACAACACCAACTACGTTCTTACTTTGTAAATGTTCTCCCAGTGTGTGTGCGTTTTCTGGGAATCAGTAAGATGTCAGAACCTGGATCTGACAGTGCGTTTAGATGACAATCTGAGTGGTTTCAAACCAAAACAAAAGTCGCTTGGCTCTGTCCTGAGGTACACGTTTTATATATTTTCGGTTTTTACACCGTATGTTTATTTTCATTTCAAATATTTGTAGGCTTGTTATCTCCTTCATACAAGCTACCTTTAGATGAACCATGAAGGTACGATCTAATATTTTCACACTTAAGTGTTTTATCTGGTCTATAGACCAACTGCCAACTCCGCTGTGCCGCGCTAAACCACACAACAAAAAGCTAAACATAAGCCATGTTCACCCCGTCCTTGTTGACTCTTGCTCAGTTACCGTTCAAAGTACACACATCTGAGGCGGCTGTGAGTACCTTGAAACGAAATGTGTACGTTGCGGTGGGCTTTGAATGCGTTTCTATTTGTTTTCTTAATTAAAATTGGCTGCCTTATTAGTGGAAAGCAGATGAAAATCAAAGTACATGGAACTGTCGCTTGCACATCATCATCATCATTATCCACGTCAGCTAGAGGTGGGAAAACACCCCCGCTATTGTGCCGCAATACATGATGGAAATACATACATACAGATAATACAATACACAAAGGAAAAATTGATACAACAGTTGCATGCCAGCTGAGCTACCAGCAACGGATAGGCATCGTTCCGGTAAGCTATCAGCCAGCTACCAGGCAAAAAGAAAAGTTTTTTATTATGTTTTACCTTACGAAATGAGATCGTAGATGAAGGGGGAGGCTAAAACGGATGGGAGGGATAAAATCTCACAGCAGGAACGCCACTGAGGTCGGCTCCTTGCCATGTCAGCAAGTGTAGCCAGCCAAACGTGTTCACCGTCATTTGGACCCCAACCAGGGAGCCGTGACGCTCCAACTGAGGCCAGCTCCGAAGTGAGCGACTTCATTCCCCTGGACCAAGTCAAGGCTTGGCCAACTCTCCTCTTCTTCCACCAACATCCCCGGTGAGCAAACAACGAACGTCAAGGGAGTCGGTGGGCTGGCATGCGTAACACGTGGCCCAGCCATCGGAGCCTGGTGCGGCAAATAACGGTGCTGAGCGGCTCAGATCCTTGTCCTGGGCCGTAAACAATGCGTCGAACACGCTCGTTACTCACGCGGTGTTCCCACCAGAAGTACGCCAAACTGCGAAGGCACCGATGGTCGAAGGTAACTAGCCTCTTCATGTCTGCCGATCTTAGGGTCCAGGTTTCGCAACCGTACAGTGAGGTCGAACGTACCGCTGCATTGTACACTCTACCCTTCAGGGCAAGAATGATGTCCCGCCGCCGCCATAGGTGGCGAAGGTTAGCAAAAGCGCCTCGAGCTTTCGCTATATGGTTCGTGACCTCGTCTTCGATCCCAAGGGCGCTGATACAACTTCCCAGGTAATTGAATTTCTGAACGACTTCCAGCTGATCCCCACCAATGGTCAGTGCAGGAGGCGATCCCTGCCAATCTTGGAGGAACGCTTTGCACTTCGATGGTTCAAAGAAAAGCCCGAAGCGGGTGACAGCCAGTGCTAATCTGTCCAGCACCGCATGGCAAGTCTGGGAGCTGTCACAGATAAGGGCAATGTCGTCTGCATAATCCAAGTCAAGAAGTCGTTCTCCTGGGAGTAGCTCCACACCATCCGCGTCATGTCCTGCAAATGCAAACTCCATGGCTTCGTCAATAGCGAAGTTGGAGAGGAAACGTGACAGCGGGCATCCTTGTCTCACACCGCTAGAGATATTGAAGGGTGGCGTCAGCTTGCCCTAAGCCTTCACTCTGCCCGTGCTACGCGCATATAATGCTTGGATAATATTTACGAATTTCTCGCGCACACCTTTCCTGAGTAAACAATTCAAATGTGCACATCGATAAACCGAATCAAAGGACCTTTGATGTCGAGAAACACGACTACGGTGGACCGCCAATATGTGTGACGGTGCTCCAACAACTGACGCAAGGTGAAGATGTGGTCGATGCAGCCACGACCGCTACGAAACTCGGCTTTCTCCTCAAGAATCTGGCTTTCACGAGCGCCAATCGGTCTGTGGAGAATTATGGAGGCGAGTAATTTGGAGGCGATGGAGATCAGACTGATTCCTCTATGGTTGCCGCAACCCGAACGCGAGCCGCCTTCGAAGATAGGAACAATAACGGAGCGGCTCCAGTCGGTTGGGACAGTCTCTTGCTCCCACAGTTTCACTAGTAATTCATGTAAAGCATCAACAAGAGCAGAGCCTCCGAATTTGAAGAGAGCAAGAGGAAGATCATCTGGTCTCGCGGCTTTGTTCAACCTCAACAGTCCGATCTCACGTTCAACTTCTGAGCAAGAGGGTGGATCAAAAGGGACAGCCCACGGAGCAGGGCGATCAGTGACCGTCGAATCGAACAATTCTAGCTGATTGAATTGCTTTTCAAAATGCTCAGCCCAAAGCTCCAAACGTTTTGACAAAATATGGATAGGCTGTCCACTCTCATCACAAATTTTTTCACTAACACCAGGTCTCCTGCTGCCCGTTTCCCGTATCAGCCGGAATAACTTACGATGGTTACCAAGGACAGCGGCCACTTCCATCTCTGTTGCACGATGAGACCACCAGGATTCGCGGTCTCTCTTCAGGCTAGCACGTAGTATTGCCCGGAGCTCTTTGCGAGTTTCATTGCGTTCACTTCCAGCAGGGATATGCCGGCCAGCGTCGATAAGTTCCAGAGACCGATAAGAGACCCAATGTCCATGTTGGCTATTAGATACCACATGAGGATTTGCCAGCTGCTACCGCTGCCCGCTGCTGTCGCTTGCACACTGGAAATGCTTGCCATCGATACTTACGACACCAATAAAACATGGTCATAACCCTTTAGCAATAGGTCGGAAAATGATTTCATTCCATACGAGTTCCCGCGGTGTTTTTCTAAGTGCTTTTTGCATAGCTGATGAAAGTCCGTCCAATGATTTCCCCGTAAAATACTGCGAATACTGCTTCTTATTGCGCAGACGGCTCACTGAAGAAATACTACTTCGAGTGATCAAAACGTGGTATTGCAATTAAACTCCCAGTTGCATAACTTGTTTATCTTTAAATCTTTATAACGACCAGGGACACGGGTGTCAAATACTGACTATATGCAAGGCTTTGCCTAAACTCTGGCTTGAAACGTTACACTGTTATGGCTAAGCGTTTGTATCAATCAGTTTTAGAAACCCTAAAAAGCGCCAGCAGATTTCCTTCAGCCATTCTTTATTGCCCCTTTTATTACAGACGCTACAGTTTTCTTTAAACATAGCCTTCATAAGTGTTTCTGGACACCACAAAACTGAAAAGAAAGCCCCCTTTTGCTTATCCCTGGAAGAGCCTCTATTCATTCAAGGGATGTTTAACATAATATTTATCCCCTGCGATTTATACTGGTCGTGAGTAAGTAACCAAAAGGAATGTAGCTGAGAACAGTGTATTCACCCTTATTGCACTTGCTCAGAGCAATCTGTGTCTTACATTTGGATTGCATAGTAAAAGTGAGCTGGACACTGTCAGGAATACCTTGCGCTTATAAAACTGTAACAACTCACGAATTACTAGACGTAAGCCGAATAGTCCCTCAACCAGCACCTAAAATCTTTTCGAGAATACCGTTTACATTTGGCTCTTCTTGCAGCGCAAAACTTTGCAATTGACATAGTCCAAATTCTACCATTATAAACTATTGTTCATTAATTTTCGAACCCCTTGTAATACAGTGGTATATTGATCTGTCCCTGAGCCTCAGTAAAACAACAGACAACATGGAGGTCAAAGTTTTCACCCTTTTAGGATTATTATCGCTTCCGATAATATCCTAACATGCGCTTTTTGAAAGCTAGGGAACAGCAGTGCATAGATGTTTATTGGTAGCAGATACTGGACGAAAACACAAAATTGGTGCCTTCTGAACTTTACGGACATATATATGTATATATACACCATAGTTTACAGAAGTCTAGGTCACAGCTGAAAAATGCTTGCCCATCTCAGTTTCCAATATCATAGTTATATTTTGGCTATTTATTCTCCGGATAAATACCAATCATGGAAACGGTCCAAGCATTTAAAACAATCGGATTAGTTAAA